GTGGGAGAACTTGCACAATTGGTGGCTGACTAAATACTTTTTTGCCCCACTGTATATGAATATATGCTATTTTATTATCTACAGTAGTCCATTTTTGAAATTTAGGGAATTTCAGTCAGAACAAGATGATGGCCAGAGTCAAATCCAAACCTGTAACAGATACTATTAGCTATCACTGTGTTGAGATCTTTAGCTTTCCACTGACTCGAAGGCACCAAAAAAGAAAAAGAAAAGAAAAAAGAAGCTGTCTAGCCAACTTAAAAGGTATTTTATAGATAATTAGCACTTTAGAAATAGCAATACAAATGCAGTACAAGTAGTCTTCAATTTAAGGAGTTCCATTCCTAAGGTCTGTCCTTAAATCGAATTTGTACGTAAGCCAGAACAGCATTACTGTATAAGTAGTATTGTGTAATGAACATGAACCATTGTGTATTTAACTCGAATTTTGCTACAATAGGTTCCATTCTTAACTATGGGTCATCCATAAACCATGCGTTCTTAACCCAGGGACTACCTGTATTAGTCTGCATTTGTAAATTAAAAAAAAAAAGAGAGACATTATAATTCAGTTTGACTGATTACAAGGAAACCAAAGTACCTGTAACAGACATTCGGTTTTTTTCAGGAAGCTTAGTTGCTTCTAAACTTTGTTCTTCAGACACGGACTTCCTAAATAATATTTCTGGACACATTTTGAATTCAAGCATTTGTGGCCTCTCTGCGTCAGACTTCTGGGACGAAGAGCTGCTTTTTTGGTGGGGTTCCGACTCCCCAGTTCGATGACTTGGTTTCACATGCCAAACTGGTTTGGAATGCCAGGAATCTAGGCTTGTCAAATGAATGGTCTTTTGGGCAGTCCGTTTAAATGCAACTCTGTTCAAATAGTTTTTCTTTTCCTTTTGAAGAAAAATAGAGAGTTTATTTTTTCTTTTAAAACACTTTTTATCAGAAAAGGATCTCTCAGACCACTTGTCTCTGCTACTACCATCCAATATGCCTTCTTTGTCTGGAGAGTGGATTTTAAGTATATTGGAAGGATGGCCCCTTTCGTTCTGGGATGCAGGAATTCTATTATCGAAATGTGAGCTTCGGTGTTTCCATGAATTTTTCTTATCTTTTGTGTATGCATATTTCTCTAGATTTATTCTTTTAACAGGCTGTTCGACATTGTGTTCAATATGCTTAGGACGAACAGATTCATTATATTGTACTTTTTTGTATCCATAACGTTTCTCCAAATCTTTTTTTTGAATTTTCTTTTTAATTAAATGCTCACGCGAACCCAAGGTAGAGTTATGCTCGGAATTATCATGTTTTTCAGAAACAAAACTAACACTGCTTAAAGTCAAGGAATGTGTGACATCATTATGCTGGATTCCCAATGCTTTACGCTTTTTTTCCTTCACCATTTGTCTCTTTAGACTCATGCTTGAAATTGGTCCTTTAATCATGCGTGTTTCACTGGTGTCCCTTTTAATTTTGTATCTTTCAAAATTGGTACTATGCTTGGTTTCTATTCTTCTATGATGATCAATATCTGTTTTTGATTTCAGAGTTTTGTCAAAATACTTCTCAGATTTCATTTTGGCAAACTTTTTGATCATTATCTTTTTGAAGTTTGTATTTAAATGATACTGTGCTTCACTTTTTGAGATACTCCTTCTTCCATGTATCTGGCTGTGTATTTTATTAGTTTCAACTCTTTCTTTTTGCAGAGACTGGGAATGTGCAGAGCGAGGCAGTTCTATGACCTGTTTGTTAGATTCCTGTGAATCTGATTTTTCCAATAAAGAACGCAGAGTAACTGCTTGTTCTGCTTTTGGTAGTTTATCTTCCTTTACCTGAGGTTCAGTTTCTCTATATCCTAAAGTTTTATTTAAAGCCTTGGTACTCTGGTCCCCCAAAAGAACAGTATGACTACCTGCATCTAATATGGAATTCTGTACTTCATTTTTTAGGCTACAGTCAGATTCATTTTCTCTGGATTTTGATCTATCTTTAGACTGTGAATACAGGCCAGCTTTTCCCTTCAAACTAGCTTCTTTAGCTAGCATGCATGAACAAGGCTCCACATTATATCCTGAAGCTATCCACCCTGGCAAGCAGCAGTACGTTCGCTCTGTTTTTCCAAATCTTTCAGACCGGGTAATTTTGCTGTCAACATTTAAGTCCTGGTTAGATTTCCTGTAGCAACGCTTATCTTTCCTCAAGTTACCTTTTGAATCCATTCTCATATGGTCATCTCCATGGTTATCAAGCTTGTTAGAGGATTGTTGACTGCATTCGGGAAACACTTCATTCATCTGTTGAGAATTTAGGATTACTATTTTAATTTGCTCTACTGCATCCCTGGGATCAAGGTTTTTCTCATGACTCCTAGTATTTTCTTTCTCTTCTCTCTCTGCCAGAATAGTTAGAGACTCTTTGCTTTCTGTTCCCTTTACCATATTCAAATAACCAATTCCATAGGGAAATTCTTTTGACAGCTCAGTTAGCTGATCGTTCAATAACATTACAGGGGGTTCAGTGCTTCCCAAATGGGCTGGCTTGCCTTCATCCAGGACATGCTCTGAGGCATCTGCTTTTCTATCGCTGGGCATGTTGTCTGTGTTGCACAGACCCTCCTGATTTCCAAACACCTCATTAATGGACAAATCTGTATTGCAATCATAAGATATATCTTGCTCAGTATTTTTCCCTGAAAGTGGAACAACTTCTAAAAAGTCATTGTTCTTTTGTTCCCCAGAGTTGTTTGCATTTGTTTCCATTAAAGTTTTGTCATGTTGAGGGCTTTCAAATGTTTGCAAGTCTTCAGGTTTTCTTGCAAAATCTTTGGATAAACTTCCTGATGGTGGCAATACAATGCCTTCCTCTGAAATACTCATCCCAACTTCAGTGTCATTTGTCAAAAGGCCAGATTCTTCCTCATTGTGATGCAGAGAAAGCTTGTGTTCTTCTGAAGTTTCATGCTTTGTACCAGATTTCGAAGGGCTTGTACTAAAGATGTTTGCTATCTGTGAATTATAAAATGCATCACCTTGTACAAGAGTACAAACACTGGATATTTGCAACATACTATCATTCAGCACAACTTCAGTATTATTGGATTCATCCAAATTTGGACCATGTTTTTCAGATGTTACACATTTTTGAGGAGATGTAGTTAAATGTTTAGTGATCAATTCACATAGATGTTGGTCTCCTGAATTGAGTTTATGTTGCTTTAATTCAAGAGGAGAGGTATTAGTTATCTCTTGCTTTAGGTCAAAAGAATAATTTGTTCCAACTTCTGCTTTCACTGTTTTATTTTTTTCTGTGGATTTGCTTGTTTCCTGGTGCACATTTAATTCTTCACAGTATTTATAGGAATCTGTAGGTGAGTAAATAGTTCTTTTTTCTCCTTTATTAGTATCTGATTTTGCAGAGGTAAATTCTTCTATGGTACGGACACTGCCTTCTTCAATAGCTGGATAGATGATTTCAAACAGAGACTGATTATTTTTCTTCACTTCATTCTTTTTTGATAGTATCAGTGGAGTAACAATAGCTACTTGAAGTTCAGAGCTTTTTGGCAAATTGGAATTTACTCCATCAAGGTTTTTTCCAAAAGATGAAGAAGTGTAAGTCTGAGTTCTTTCAACTGTAATTTTAGTGTCATAATTTTGAATCAATGTATTGGGGAGGTTTTCAAAAATTTGTGCTGTACCTTTGCCATCTAGCCCATCACTGGAAGATTCAGTATTTCTATTTCGTTGTTCATGTAAGAATGCTGGAAGGGATTTTCCCCATAGAGCCAGACTTGTTGTTAGCTCCTCCAAAGAACAACTTCTTTCTACTCCATGAGGAGTTTGAGTTACAGCTTCAACTCTTTTGGAAATGGGGGATGAACTAGACACATCAGCAATTTTTTCACTATTCCCAGATTTCTGAAGACAAGTGTTTTCACTATGCTGAATCGGACATGCAGATGTAGAACAATGCAGATTTTCACTGTCCTCTTTTACGGAATGTTTCATTGAGGATAATCCCTGAGGAACACCTGAATTCTGAACCAAACTTTGAATATTATCATTTAAATATTGACCAACACCATCTCCTGAACCTTTATTCTGTTTAATAGGATTAAATATGTCATCCTTAGCTGCAGCTGATATTTTCTCCAATTGATTATGAGCAGAGTTAGCAATCTGTTCAAAGCCTTTATAGTTTTTTATGTTTGTCCCTTGAGTAGAATCAATGGGAGAGGTTTTATAGCTTAATCTAATAGTTCTGTCAGTGTTAACAGGATTTCCAGATGCATCACCATTAGAATCAGAACATGAATTCTCTTGAATAGTGAAATGCTTATTTTGGTATTTATCTCCACCTTCAACATCAGCATTAAGTAACATATTTTCATCACCAGTACCTTTCAGCATATTCCACAGAATTGGCAATAAATGATTCTTTGTTTTCTGTGGTACAAAGGAAGAATTATGTGAATTAGATGAAAACTGATTTGCAGTGACTTTATCTGAAGGAACCTGCTGGACATTACATACCACTGATTGATTGGTATTAGGAGGAGGAAATAAATTATGATTTTGATTGTTTACCAGAGTATTAGAGGTCTTTCCACTCTGTACAGGAGATTGATATATTTTTTGTTTTAATCTAAAATTGTCTTTAAGTTTTAATAATGCATTTCTCATTTCATACAATGTTCGAACATTCAGTGATAAACTCTCTCTAGTAATTTTAAGTTTATCCTTAGATAAACTCTCATTACTTACATTATTTTCTTGTTGCAAAGTTCTATTTGTTTGAGGTAAGGGTTCAGCAAACTGACCTATTGTAGCTGTTGGTACATTGTTAGAAAGATTGCCTTCAACTTCAACAAATGACTTTACTGATTCATCAGAAAGCTGCATTGTAGATTTTAGTCCATTTACATTATAGGCAATGGTGCCTACCGCATTTGTTTCTGTAGAGGATGACAGAGATTGAGACTTCTGACCAGGCTGAACAGGATATGAATTGCTACTCTGATCAATCAGAGAACGATGATAACTTTCAACATTTTCATTAGATAAATTTGCAGTTGGCTGTTGCAGAACAAATTGTCCATGGTTTGCTTGTAGAGGAGCCATCAGATCCAATAGTGAAGAGTTTATATTAGTAGTCTGGGCTGCATTTCTGCTATCATAGTGAGAATATATTGCATATGGTGAAGGATTTATTTGCTCAGAGGCATAATGTGATTGCATAGCTACTGGAATACCTGGATTTGGACAATTCTTTGCTGAAGAGTAATCAGGACACTGGACATTTTGCTGAGGAGGTAAATAATAATCTGATACAGAGTTAAGAGATACTCTAGCATCTGCTTGGGAGGTAGCAGGCCCATTCAGGTAATAGTAGGGCATCAGTGTTGGGGGCCCTTTTGGAGATGAACCATTTAGGGGAGCTTGCTGATATACTGAAGTTCTCATAGAATTTGAACAATTCTGCAATGGTTGATTATTGAAACTGTCCATGGCCATATATGCATTTGTCTTTTGATGCATGTTTTGCACGGAATTAACTGTATTTCCCTGTAATGCTATAGAGGAAGAAATGTGCATGTTCCTTGATAAATTTGGATTCTGAACATCAGCTGCCATCTGGACTGTCCTAGCAGAAAATGAAGATGGAGACAAGTTATAAAAATTATTGCTTAGTCCAAAGCTTGAATCAGATACTGTTGTTTTAGGAAATATAGATCGTAAGGTTTTAGAGGCACTGTTATTTCGAAATTGTGATTTATTTGCCAAGATATACTTCATGCTTGATGGAATATTTGTGGTTTGGCTGTTTCCAGAGGAATTACAAAAATTCTGCATCAAGACATTTGCTTGGGAAGTAACAGAAGCAGCAGAAGTCACTTGTGGTGTCAGGTAGGGTCTACGTGTTTGCAACTTATTGGTCATCCCTACATTCCAGTCCATAGTGCTGATAGTTCTTAGATTTCAGGAATCTAAGAGGAGAAAAAAGTAACCATAAAATTTCATTTATGACCCTCAAATGAAACTATACAGCCCCATATCAAAATGCTATTTTACAAGCTATTTCTCCCCAGCCCCATATCAAAATGCTCTTATACTAGCTATTTAAGTGAACACTTCTGCTATCACCCTATCACACATTAAAGTATTTTAAGAGTTTCTAAATGCTAGCACTGACATATGGAAGTTAACAGATCTCAACAGTTTCACACTCCACAATGATGTCTGAACATGGCAAAATTAGCAGTATATATTCACAATAGAAGTTTAACCAAATATAATCACTTACAGTTTGGCTTCTAAGGGGACCTAAATGTTTGTAAATATTGTAAATTAACAGATGCACACAACGGGGGAAGCTAGAAACCTAATAGTTCCCCCCCCTTGGTATTCTAATCATTGTCTAACTAGCTTTATCTTCTCTTTTTTTTAATATATATAAGCAATATTAAGTAACAATACAGTGGTGATCTTAATACTAGTAATCAACTCAAGATCAAAACCTTTATTGTACAACACTTTGATACAACCCACAGTGGTTCTTTATTGTTATATTCAATTCTGGATGAAGAAGCCAAGTATTATTATGCTTATTAACACTGACATTTTAAACCATAATTAAGATTGGTATTTCTTTTATTGAATCTTCAATAGCTTAAACTATTTAAACATTGGAGCATTAATAACTTTTTAATCAGCCTTGTATAAATACCATTGTATCGAAATAAAATAAGGTACTATGTAAGTTTTATAACAGTGCTTTATATAACGTTCTACACAAGAAGAAAAAAGATCATTCAGGATTGTTATGTTAGCTTTGTGTGAGAACTACCACAAATTCAGTTTGATTTAGATTCCTGCTTCATTCATCAATCACATGAAGTCCTGGTTTTTTTCATAACTTGTCTGTTTATTTTCTAATTACCCACCTCTCTTCCATATCGCAAACTTAATTTGGTTTTTTCCCTCACTTTAGAGCTGTCCTTTCCTCCTTTTCTTCAGTCTTCTTGCTTAATGTTTCCCAAAAGTGCCCAGAACATCTACACCTCTAAAAAACACTAATCTGCATCTGAATCTCAAATAACTGGTATGCTGTATAGTATTTTGAAGTGAAGCACCTCCTTTTCAGGACCAATAAGTGAGTTTTTAACAGTACAGTGGTACCTCGAGATACGAACGCCTCTACTAACGAACATTTCGGGTTACGACCAGCTTCGGCAGGAAAATTTTACCTCAGGTTACGAACTCGCCTCGAATTACGAACCGGAT